GCAGCCTTGATATAATAGATAATATGCTGCCTCACCTTGACCGGTTTGACAACGGCGGATTAAGTGGGTTACTCTATAACTTCTTCGGGATACCCACTTAATACAAAGCTTTCACGACTGATGACGACAGAATGCAATGCACCCCGTGGCTTCGCAGCCAGAAGCATCAGATACGACTTTTTGATATTCTTGCGCTAGAGACTCCTCCGATGAAAAGTCAAGAACACCCTCTCCGACTCTCATCGTCGAAAGTTTATTTATGACCACATGTTTTTGATCCAATTTCCATTACTTCAGCACACGTTTAGGATACCGGAGTTGTCCAATAGCACCTTTTTTGTATTTGCTGTTGGTTGGTTTAGTTCGGAAACCCTTGCCAGCTCTGCAAAACAGCTGCTGTCCTGCTTCTTCATGTTCTTTGGACCCATACCTTTGAAAAATCTAATCATTAGTTAGCCCATTACGTTCGATGTTATTAGTCTCGACGCGAAGTACCACTCCTTGTTCTCTATTCCATCTGTATTTTCGCCTGTCAGTTGACTTCCTTTCGTGTTACTGATCCAAGCTACGTGAGGCAATGCGTAAGACAACGTGACAAAATTTATGCCTATACGCAACCTTCGAGATCCAACTCGTCATCTCCTTTACACATCCTTTGAGAGTGCCAGACTATTACATCTTTCCTTTGTTCGCTATTTTGTTTCGACGTAAGATCTTCTGGTTTAGAAACTATGCAGAAATTTCGTCAATGTTATTTTTTCTCAAAGAGCCGCTTTTCAGGTCCTGCTCATGTGTGTGTCCATAGTTCAACAGTGAAGTCTGTCATCTCTTTAATTTGCAACACGATTCGAGAAGAATACCTGAAACAGCCAGAAATACGAGGCCGTTGAAAACAGGAATGACCCGCCCGAGCCGATTCATGACGACAGTACCAGCTACCCCCCTGAAATCACACCGACCAACACTCCTATATTCACCTCTGATTTGTGTTGAAGATGGAAGAAATTTGCATAAAGAATCTACAGGATGGTCATAAATATGATGGCAAGAATGAACTCTAAAATACGGTAAAAAAAATGAGGAGCGCTCCTAACTTATTGTTCTTTCTCGTATAAGTCGAGCAGTTGCGGTAGTTTAAAGGGTGATCGTAACTTGTAAAAGCGTATCATATGCAGTTTGTTGCTGTAGGGAATATAAAACAAACTAGGGAGAAACCCACACGTTGCAATATTTATCAATCATGTACGTAAGACACTTAAGTTTCACAGAATCCTGTGTGTCCCTACCACTGAAACAGAACCTTAAATCATTCTCTTCCAGGGAAGAGGAGGGTAGCACATAATAATTTCTTTTTTTTTCGAATTCAAATGCTTTCTCGAGCTAAACAGAGCTTCAAAATAAATCACAACAACATTGTACATTGGCGTAGAACCCTGCACACGCGAAAGTGCTTAGAGATTACTGGATTGAGAGTAGGCAAAACTTTTGCCTCCAGCCGGGATTCGTACCCGGATCTCTTGCTTTCCGAGCAATTGTGCTACCACTTACACCACCGTGGCACCATTTCACACCAACTCAACATTGATGGCATGTTACATAGCTTATCAGCATTCCAAACGTACAACGAGGACCAGTTAGCCGATATACGCAGTAAACCGCAAGGCTGCAGCTTTATTAGATGTTACCATTTCTTGACTTATTGGATAAATGTTTGGGTTTTATTGGATTAAAGCTGTCGCCGAGCGGCACCGCAACTGCGTAAACTTCTGACTTTTAACGCCATTGATTTTGTTAGTTCAAATTTATTTATGTCAAATTAGCCTCTCATTAATGAATCTGTTGAAAAGTTGAAGAACACATTCAGACTTTCAGCAACGATATTTCGAAAGCTCAAATGCGCAGCGGGATAAGTAAGTAGGAATTGAAACAGATTCAACGACAAAACCTATCTGTCTTACCGACCCATTTAAAGCAACAGTCCAGGCAGGGTTTCAACTACTTGGTCATTAGGCGGTCAAAACATGCCCCAGCCCAACTAAAGTTTATAGGAAATGTCTTTAAGTTCAAAACCTACCTCTAAAATGCGCTGGAAGGGGTCGAAGTCCTCTTGGAGGGGGCGGATCACCCATACCGAGGCGGATCGCTCAACATACGCTGTGCAGAGTCCGTGCTTGACTAGCGGTCGTTGCGGGACCGCCGCGCTGTATGAGGTCGATTCCATAAGAACGCAATTGAAGCGCTTCAATTTCGATTGCTGGCAAATAGTTATGTATTTGCAAGCATGCATGGCTATTTGCCAGCAGTTGCAATTGGAGCGCATTTACCGGAGCAGATTCGGACAACTCGTCCAACACACGTATTCCCCAATCGTTGAACGGCAGAGGGCATGTCCCTGTCTAAGCCCCAGTTGGGCGTTTTTTTTCACTTTTTCTTTTTACGTTCGACCACTTTTCACCTACAACTTCCATATAGGTGCTTTTGCCCGCAAATTCGTTCCTGGACTGTTGCTTTAACCGTGGAACCTTGCAAGGAGCGCGGTAGGCAAGATCAGCGCTACGTTTGCCCCAGTCTTTGCTACTGATCAGGCACTGAGATATTGCATCGATAGCATCGACAAAGACCAAAGGAGCTACAAAGTTCGACCTCATCAAGGGCCTCCGGTCAGTTCCATAAAAACTTTGAATCGAGGAAAAAAAAAAAAAAAAAAAAAAACACTAATCCGGGCGCTTTTACCAGGAATGTAGCAAACATGTGGGCGCGACCTACACGATGATCCATGATTCGCCACCTGAATGCAAGGGGCTCTAGCGTGATAGAGGTCTTGATGGAAACAGCACGCATTGGCTAGCCATGACGGCAAGCACAACTGACCATCTGCAGAAGCTTTATTCTGCGACCGTATGGACAAGTTATTTCCTAGTGGGTCACCGGTGCAAATGGTCACGAGTCCACTACCCGCCGCAGCCTGGACCTAATTTTGACCAAAGCCCGAGCTCCTTCATCGCAGGATATTACCCCCGTTCGTTGGATTCGCTGGGTATACCGTTACGAGAACCATTTCACCTTCATGGCCAGACAAAACATTGCGAAGTCTTCTATAGCCAGGAGCTGCCTGTAGTTGGCCACAGCAGTGCGGAGAGAAGTGATGATCGTCTGCACATTCTCCCTCCTCCAGGCCGTGAACATCACATTCGCATAAGATAACTCGGCATATTTTGAGGGCAACTGGCCACTGGAGCGCGACACCATATGCTGTCGTATGACTTCACATTGCGCTCCCATCGTATGCTATCGCCTCCCCAGCTTACTGAAGCAGCAGCTAGAAAAAGTGTAAATGTAAATGTAAATGCAACCCCCAGAAAAGACCTCTCTCGACTTTTCACTCATTGCTTCACTCGTTCTGGGAGGAATGCATCCAATCGTTTCCTAATAACTGGATGCAATCGTGATTACAGTGGTGGTTAATTATTTTTGCTCACATTTGATTTCTCAGGAAAGGTAAATCTTGGAAAAAAATCAAAGATTGTCGAAGTTACGCCCACGACATTATGGGACAACCCCGCAGTACTTTCTGTGGTGGTGAGCAAAGCAGAATCATTGTCAGGCTTTCAGAAGGGAATTTTTAGGCAAAGAAGTGTCGCAGGATTGTCAAACGTCATCTACGCTAAAATCGTGAGTCAAGGCCACCCATGATTAATTCCACAATGATACCGTCATACTCACAGAGTCGAATACTATGCGTTGAATGCCTGATTGGCCAACCCGAGCGGGTGATAAGCGTCGGCAACGTAGGCGAATCAATACAAGTTACCAAGTCGAGGCGAAATCAACTTCTCAAAAGCTGATGCCGCAATGGGCACTGCTTGCGTGTTTTGCGGAAGGTTCATGTTATTCCGTGTCTGGAAAATGGGTTGTTCCTGAAATATAACCATAAACCACCAATGTTTTGTGAAATAGAACCCGAGAAACAAGTCTATCTTCTCAGAGATTGAATGAAGTGAGGGCAGTCTTTTTTCACATCTGGAGTGCGTATGCTGTAACTGTTTGCCTAGCTCTTCTCTCATACGTTTTATTAAAAAGGAGCTGATCACTATTAAGAAACCAATAGACAAAGGATCAGAGAGAAGGGTCCTTTCACATCGGACTTCAGATTGCAACAGATTCTAACAAAATTCGCGCTCAGCTTTTACATATGGTATTCATAATCTCAAAAAAGATGTTCTTACCCATTTCAGCCATATGAACTGTGTAACAGGAGTGACGCGACTTCTTGAGAAGCCATAGTAGTGGGAAAGTTGAAAGAGGTAGTTAAACTGGCAGTTCATCATTTTGACCGTTTCCATTTTAAAGGAACATTACGAGTCGAGGGCTAGATTGGATCGTTCAGCTATTTCCAGTCGATTGAACTATACAATTCGCTAGGCAATAAATTAAAAACGCCTGCATTTAACTATGATAAGCTGAGCAAAGTGCGTTTGAAAAGTGACACACTTAAATAGGAAAGCCTAAGCTAACAAAATTTTATAAGGCAAAATTGAGACACAGCGGAAAACGTTAGGTGGAAGTAAGTGATTTTGCAGGAGAGTCAGAGCTAGTTTTTCCAAGAAAATGTAAATAAAAAATCATCGCTCATTCAAATTGGAATTTTGTGCTGATAGATTTGTGCTGAACACGTAATCACATTCCACTTAGAACTTTTTAGAGAACTATGCTCGCAGCAGGTTTTGGATAAGTAATGTGCGTGGTAAACATCGTTGCTAGGGAACAGCGCTTGTTCTGTTCTCATAGTAGCACTGAAGACTGAAATCTCTCACGAATTTATAAAAGAACAATGAAAACTGTACGACCTATGAGACCCAGGCAGGAAGCTCGAATGTTGTGTTACTAGGCAATTTCGTCTTACGCTCATCGTTCCGATACCATATGAAAGCATCTTGAGCTCAATTGTCATAATATTTCACCTGTTGCTAGGTAAGAAGCATGATGAATTCCAGAGCGTTATGAATCACCGTTCACATAAAGAGGAGCAAAAAGGCGGAGGTTCACGGGCACAGCCGCATACATCTGATCCTCCATTCACGAGCTGCGATGCAAAAGAATATCTTTCGATGAATGGCAAGATCCTCTATGTCAAGCTATCTTGGAAATCGTTTCGAGGTGCGTAACAGCGTCGACATCTTTGACGTAAAATCGACACACTGGATTTTTCAACCTCAACGGAACATTTCGCCATCCGACGTTTCTTACACATCGGTTCATATCTGCACATACTTCTTGTGTGGTAGCTCGTGTGTAATGAAAGTGGGGTAATGAAAGCAAGGCAACTCAGCAACTTGGCTGGTCCACAAGTTGCTTTTGGAAGGATTTTGGATAGGCTTGGAATAACCATTATTAAATGCCAGTTGAACCTCCACATCATTTTGATGGTGTCTGTTGTTTGCTTACATTAACATAGAAGATTGAAGCAGGATTCATACTCTGTACTTGCGAAGACCTATTTACCTAACCCTAGAACTAGAGGCGAAGCATCGATGCATGTTCCCTCCAGGCATTTTTGTGCAGATCTTTCACCATTGGCCCGTTAGAGTCTCACAACCGCACAAGGTGATTAGCAATTCTGGTCACCCAGTAAAAAACTAACCTCTTATGAGTTGAGTCTTCATGTGGTACAAGCACATCTTTTTACAGCCAAATCGCTCCCACGACTTTTTTTGAAACGCTACACATCAATTTTAGATGTCAAAGTAGTAACTTTCTCAGTTATTTTAACCAGGAGTACAGTAGTGGAATTTCGATCGAAATACATGAATTAACAATAGAAAAGCGAACGAGGTCGGAACTAGCTGCAATGGACATCAAGAGCAATTTTACGTTGATTATTCCAATCAAAACACACATATTGTCATGTCTAAGGTTCCGTATACTTCTACTACTATTTAAATCCTTCACATTCATAGAAAAAAAGTAAACGAAAAATTTATTAAACTGAAGATTTCGTATGGTTCAGAAATCCTCCTCTAAATTAAAGTATACGTGACCATTCTAAGGGCCACTATGTTTGTAGCTACGTCAAGGTCTCTTCCATGGAATGAATACAAGAAACTTCTAAAAGAATCAGGCGTGCGCGAAAAAAATGAGTGTAATGGGTGCGGGGATATATAAGGTTGGCAAGAAAGTCCTTCGACAAAAATTTTAAAATGTGACAACCTTGCTTGAACAATGGGTACGCGTTAGTCCGGGTGATAACATGTAAGAGCATCTTCGAAGCAATCATTACAAGGGTATATAAGGAATTGCGCAGGAACTTCGTATAGCATACATTAATTTCCGTGCAACTCCGCACCATATTTCTACGCGTAGGTGGCCATAAGGAAATCAGCCGAGTGCAGCGCTCATAATCAACACACATTTGTGAAGGACTGTCACCGCTAAACGGTTAGCAACTGGTACAAGCGCTTCGCTGCAGGAGATACCTGCCTTGAAGATGACGAGCGCAGTGGACGACCACGAACCATTGATGATGATGAACTGCTACGAGCTGTCACAGCGAACCCGGAAGCCACTACGCGTGAGTTAGCCGTGACACTTGGATGCTCCCATGCCACCATCGAGAACTTCCTTCAAAGGCACGGTTATCGAAAAGTGCTGTCAAGATGATCCCCTACCGACTGACGCGACCCGTATAACAGGGTGCGGTGTCTAGATCTGGACTNTCTTGCGGATCTTGGTAACTGATGACGAAAGTTGGATAATGTACGATAACAACAAACGGACTGCCGTTTGGCTCCCTCGCGGCGCTGAGCCACCAACTCAGGCAAAGCCGAACACTCGCCAGCGCAAACATCTTCTCTCAGTATGGTGGGATATGAAAGGACCGGTCTACTACGAGCTACTGCACGCAGGCAAGACTGTCACAGCTGCTGTCTACATCGATCAGCTCCAGCATCTGGCCGATGCTCTTCGTGAAAAACGCCCAAGACGATCGACAGTGTACCTGCAGCACGACAACGCGCGTCCACACGTAGCGTCGGAGACTCGTAGAAAAATTGCTGAACTTGGCTGGCACCCGATTGCTCACCCGCCGTACTCCCCGGACCTTGCGCCCTCCGATTACCACTTGTTCCGGCCACTTAAGCACCACCTGCGAGGAAGAGAGTTCAAAACTTATGATGCAGTGAATGACTTTTTTGAGTCACAGTCTCCTGACTTCTGGGCAAAAGGCATCAGTGACTTACCCAAAAGATGGGAGAAGGTAATTGATATTTGTGGAGAATATATCGTTGATATGTGAAGTGTTTGACAAATTTTATAGTTTTATAAATAAAGTAGTTTTTCTGTCGAAGAACTTTTTTGCCAGCCTAATATATCCCGCACCGTCCGACACGGCCTGCAATACGCGGGATATACAGGGTGGCTACTAAATATTGGCGCATGGTTTATTGACATATTTCCAAAAAGAGAAGCTATTATATCTTCAGAAGTTTATTTTTATATACAATAAAACATGAAAATTCATTACCAAAGAAAGTGCTCGAGATGGCCTCCTTTGGTAGCGATACAGGCTTGAAGTCTCTTTTCAACTGACATCACCGTGGGCCGCAAGTAGCTGACGTCGGCGTGACGTGAGTAGAGACCAGAAGTGGCGCACGATTTGCAAAACGACAGGCAGTTGTTGGATCTGGCTAGCAGACATTCTGCTCGACCTTGTGTACACACAAGGAACCGTTTTTCAAATTTGTCATGGTTTGGGCAGGAATTACTTCTGAAACCATGACACCGCTTGTCTTTGTGGATGAATACATCAAAGCCAGCGCCCAGATCTACCCGGAAACAATTTTCACGTAATGCCCTTCTTCCAAGGACTCTTTTGACCTTCAGCGAACGTCATTGCATTCTTCAGCAAGACAGGGCGCCTCCACATGCCGCAAAATCAATGTTGGAGAACTGTGACCGTCATTTTCCAAGTTACCGGGCACAAAATGTTTGGCCATCTAAGTCGCCCGATTTGAACCAATTGATTTGGCGGTGTGGGGCTTCTTGAAGCAGAAGATGCCTTCTGAGCAACGTCGAAGTTTGGACTCCCTGAAGGCTTCCTTGGAGGAGGCGTGGAAGGAGCTTGACGTCAGCTACTTGCGGCCCACAGTGATGTCAGTTGAGAAGAGACTTCAAGCCTGTATCGCTACCAAAGGAGGCCATCTCGAGCACTTTCTTTAGCAATGTACTGCCATGTTATAAGTATATAAAGATAAACCTCTGAAGATGTAATAGCTTCTCTTTTAAAAATATGGTCAACAATCCATGCGCCAATATTTAGTAGCCACCCTGTATATCCCCGCGTTGTCGTCAACGTGATAAAACATTCACGCCTGTGGCAGCCCATATGCCCTGCCAGAGACGTCTGCTCATGGGACGCTGGCAGCCCACATGGGCTACCAGCTTATTACATCTCAGTCCCTCACAATATAATTTTGGTATTTTTGATGTATACGAGTCAGATAGGGACCACTCCGTAACTATAATCACAACTTTCCACTGGATTATATATGCTTCATTCTAGAAAAAAATTTCCGAGCCGTATGAAATTTGTGGTTTTGTTGATTTTTTCTCCTTTCCACTGCCTTGAAGATGTGAATGAAAAAAGCACTAGCAGAAAGCGCAAATTTTCATGGATGGTAAAATAGGTTGTGGTAAAATTGTTTTAAGGTGAGGTTTGGCTCGTACGCTCACTAATGGCAAGTCGCGTCCGTGCCACGCGGCCACGAAAACGGAAACGAGCGCGTCTATGTGATCGGAACCTTGTGATCCATGATCCCAACTAGAAATAATGATTTATATTCCATTGTTTCCTTTGGGCTTCATCTGACATGTGAAGAAATAGGAAATTTGTCACACCGTGGAGAATTCAAAACGTTGGATTTTGAAGTTGAAAAATAACCATAGCTCATTACTGATACTGATACTGATTAGCATGGACTCCTGAATTATCCGATTTAAACCACGAGTACTGAATCACTTCAGCATATTCACACATTCATCAGCTTACTCAGGATAAAAGTCTTCAGACAACCTTGTGGTCACTACGGGAGCAAGGCGAGTGACCCTGTGAGAGAGGTCTCTAGAAAAATTTGTTGGTTGTAAACTATATTCAACTGAAT